CCAAACACACGCAAATATCTGATATCAGGTTGTTTTTGCATAAGCTGAAATAGGGAGATTGATTGGCTAGAGCCTTACTAGGCATCTAATTAATGAGGCAAGCTGAATGTGTCATTGCATGAAACCATAATTTTTCAGGCATAGAAGCTTTAGCTAAGAGTTTTATGGAAGTCTCTACAAAATGCTTATTTTTTCTTTCAGCAAATCCATTTTGTTGAGGTGTATAAGGGCATGAGATTTGATAAACAATGCCATGAGTAAATAAAAATTCCCCAAACTTATGACTCATATATTCTCCTCATCCATCACTTTGAAATACTTCACTGAGGCATGAAAGTGATTGATAATAAAAGCAAAGAACTTGAGAAATATAAAGAACATCTCTGATTTGACATAAAGAGTATGTAACCACAGAAAGCGTATATTCATCAATAAAGCTTACAACATATCGATAACCCTCAACTAATTTACAATGGGCAGGCCCCTATACATCACTATAAATCCTATAGAAATGAAGAATTACCTTATCATGCCTCATAGGAAAAGGTAAATAATGCATTTTACCATTCAAACAGTAAGAACACATATGAGTTGAACAACCTTATTAGTTGGATGACCTAATAGCCTATGCCACAATGAGGAGTGAATTTGTTGTCCAAGAAAAGCCATATTTGGCTACTTATTAGCTACACTTGTTGAAGAAAGGAAGAACATGGAATGGGATACAAGCCATTATCACTCTTGCCTTGGAAGAGAACCCTATTGGTGACTTTGTCCTGTATAGAAAATCTAAATTAATAAAAAAATCATACGGTAATTATTATCACGGCACAAGTGATACACATACAAAAGATTAGCCATGAGTTGAGGAACACAAAAAACTGTACATAAAGAAAGAGAGGAATAAGTTGTTGTGGGAATATGAGATGTGATCATACTCTCACTTGATCTAAAGAGGTGCAAGGTGAAACAGAATCCATTATTGTCATATGAGGCACCATGTGATGACTTGCCCCATTGTCTACAATCCATACTGCATCAGGAGAGAAAAAAGTTTGAGCCGTCATGGCAGTGAGGGAAGATGATGGTAGAGAACCTTGATAAATATAGTTGGAGAGATGGAAATAATCTAGAGCCTCATCACATTTTTTGCTACAAATCTGACATTCAATTGTGGAAGAGGACCCATGAGAAGAGGTATTGAAATTAAATAGCAATTGATTGCGGTGTAACCTCACTTGCAGCATATTTGACACTCAAGAACAACACCACCACCAGACGTAGAAGGACCTTCAAACTTGCCTTGAAAACCATGACCAAAATGTCTAGAACTAGAGAATTTGCCTCGACCACTAAAAGCATGAGAAGAAAATCGAACAAGGGGTTGCGAACTCATATATCCAGTATGAAGCATTTAAGGAGTCAAAAGAATACCATCACCATGACCAGAACCAGAGAAGGCATGGGAAGAAATAGAGGGAGAGGATTGACTCAGCATACCAACCATAGGTGCATGAGAAGAAAGCATGCATGCCTCAGCAGCTTGTTCAGCCGCAAGCAATTGATTGCAAAAATCTTTGAAGGAAAGCGAAGTGTCAAGAGCAACCAGGATTCTCTTAATCATATCATACTCAGAAGGAAGTCCATTCAAAGCTGCAATCATCATATCATCGTCGGACACCGAAACATGAGTGACAGTGAGGTGATTGCGAATGTGTTTGAGGCGAAGCAAGAACTTTTCAATTGAATCAGAGCCTTTATGTGCAGTCTGAAGCTCGATTTTGAGATGATTTATAGGAGCACGAGAGACTGGCATATAGATCCGTCAAATTCATCCGTGCATCATGTGCCGTCTTGCAACCGATGACATATTCAATCGCATCATTAGATAGCGTGATGATCAAGCAGTTGAGAAGTGCTTTGTCGATCTTCACCCAGTCCATGTAGGCTGTGGTGATCTTAGAGGTAACACCTTCCTCATCCAAGATTGCAAATTTCGGCGGTGCAATGCTCGAGCCATCAAAATGGCCAAAGAGATCGAAGAAACTGCAGAAATCAAAGAATTTGCAGAAATTGTAGATATCATAGGGAAAAATAGAGTAGTGGAAGTGAGAAATCAAATCCTCATAACCACGAAGAGCTCTAATACCATGCTAACCATGGTAATGAAGACAGAGAAAGAAGATAGTTTGCTAGAAGTTTCTAAAGAATATATGGTAAGCTTAATGACATTTCAGTATATATTTTTGATTGATTGTTTAACAATACAATGTACATATATATATATATAGGGTATAGTCCCCTTCTATTGAGGGATCCCTCGAATAATTTTATTTGAGGGACGTCCTTTGGAGTACCTTAAATTTTTTTTCCTAACGAACCAAACCATTTATTTTTTAGGTCTTCATTCATAGATCATCCTTACAAAAAATTAGATAAATCGAAAACCGTTTCGACATCCAATTGTGTCTTACAAAATCAATGAACACGATGCTTCAAGAAAGTACTAAAATTTCAATAACTCAAATGAGTGGTCAAATAATATCGGATTCAAGTAATTTTTTATAGAGATGATCTTTGAATGAGTACATACAAAATAGACGGTTTGGATTAGTAAAATATAATCCTGAGTGTGGCATACAAATGGTGTCTCTCAAATAAGCTTGTTTGAGTGATCCCTCAATATATATATACTCAGTCTCTTTGCTTAATGAGTAATTGTGCTAATAACTGATAGCTAAGCTAACCACCAGTCTAACCTCCTAACAACTCTTAACAACTCTAACCATTGGGGAAATAAGTTCCACGAAGAAATAATTTCAGTACGTACCAAAATAAAATTACTTATTGTTTTGTTTATCAAATAAATTAGTTATTGTTGACGAATACATCCAACATTAGAGAACACTCACTAGGAAAAATAGGGCACGTTCGGTATTGTTTCCAAAGGCTGTTTTCTGTTTTCATTTCGTGAAAACAACTTGAATTCATGTTCGGTGGTGAAGATTTGAAAACACAGAAAACAATTTCAGAAATCAAATTCAAAGTGTAGCTATAATTTTGAAAACATCAAATTGATGTCTTCATTTTCGCTGTCTTCTGCCTTTTAAAGAACCACACTTAGACCAACAGTGACTGGACCCACCACAACCATCACATATCCCGATGAACCACCACAACCACCTACCAATTAAACCCAATTGAACCGGCATCCAGTCGAACCCATTCAACCACCACTACAAAAAAAAGTGTCATTACCGACCAACTTTTTCCGAGGGTCCCGAAACTCCCTCGGTAAAAGTGTTTTTTCCGACCAAAAAATGTTATCCGTTGGAAATATTTCATGGGGCTGAAATTTATTTCCGACAAAGGAACTACCCTCGGAAAAAGTCTATAAGGTCGTCGGAAATGTAATTTATTTGGAGGGAAAACTTGGCGCCAATTTTATTAACGACAAAAACTATTTTTGTCGGAAATAAGACGATTATTTCCGAGGGGTTTCTCATTCCGTCGGAATTGTTTGCCTATTTCCTAGGAGCTTCTCATTCCCTCGGAATTGTTTGACTATTTCTGAGCAACTTCTCATTCGGTCGGAATTGTTCGACTATTTTTTTAGAGGCTTCTCATTCCGTCGGATTTGTCTATAAACAAAATTGAGTTTTTGTTATTACTTTGTATTTTATAATTCAAAATTAGATTTTTTGAGCTTTAAGGCTAAGAGAATGTCACAAGGAGTTTCTAGGAATTTTCGGTATATTTTTTTTATTTTAAATTTATTTATTATGAATCATAAAAGTTAAATCTTAAAGAAATACTATGAAATAGAATGGATTGACATGTGTTAGCCTCTTAAAGGAACTATGTCAGTGTTTCTGATAGGAGGCCTATAATATGGCGACATGTGTTATTTTCTGACTATTTATTGTTTTTATCTTAAACAATTCATAAAAAAAATTAAATAAAAATAGTAAAAATGCACCGAAAATTGCTACAAACTCTTTTATCTTTAGCCTACTATCTCATAGCCACATATATCACTTTTTTTTTTTAAATTCTCAGCTAACAGAAAGGGACAAGATCAAACAAACACAACTTACAAAAAGATTTTAAAAAGGAACAGTAAAACATTATGACATTAAAATAACACAACTTACACTTATTTTCATGCTCCATTATTGTTTGTGGTTGGTCAAACTCAAATACAACATCAATATATTAGAACATCATTAAATCAATGGTACTAAGCTCCGAATCTTCCCCAATTTGCATACAATCTAAGGTTATTAACTCACCTTTATTTCTCAAGTTTCTGATCTTTATTCAATGGTTGTTTGTTTGCTAATTAATTGGCTCCAATTTTTAGTTCTATTGATTTGTGTTTTTTTTTGGGGTTTGGTTGTACTTATTTGTGTAGTGTTTGGAAAACAAATTTCTAAATTTAACTAAACTATAGTCCTCGTTCGCGTTTAGTTATGCTATTTTCGGGCTTTAGCGTCCTTATCAAAAAATAAATTTATAGACAATTTGAATCATTTTATATTATATTATAGAAGAAGCCAAGAAAAAAGAATATAGTCAGGCCCTAAATAAATTCTTGGTTCCACCATTGATTCCACATGTTTCAGTTAATGAGAATCATTGGATCCAATAAACAAGAGTGTTACGTGACAGAATGTTTTGATTTGTTTATGAATAAAGTTGAGTTTTGTTATTACTTTGTATTTTTATAATTCAAAAATTAGATTTTTAGAGTTTTAAGGTGAAGAGGATGTCACAAGGAGTTCATAGGATTTTTTAGTGTATTTTTCTTATTTTTCAATTTATTTGTTATGAAATTAAAAGTTAATTAACTATATAAAAAAAAACATATTTGCGACGACGTTTTTCCGAGGGACGCCAAATACCCTCGGTAATAAATTTTGCGCTCGCTTTCCCCCAAATTTTTTTCTCCTGCCGCCCTTTTTTTTGGCTCCATTTAAATTTTGTGCCTAACACTTTGCCTAGAAAAAAAAAAAACCAAAGAAACACAAAAAAAAACCCTAACTCGCTCTATCTCAAGCTTTTTCTGACCCAAACCCTCACTTCCTCCTTCTCATCTACAAACTCTCCAGTTCTCACAAATATCACTTTGAGTTGAACCCACACCCACCATCGCTCCATTTTTGCCGTCGTTGCTCCAATCGAAGAAGTCACTCGCCATCGCCGTCTCCTCTCATCATCTCGTCGCCGCTGCCTCTATCTCAATTTCAGGTAAGTTCCATCTCGTCTCATCTCACCTCAGTTATTTAGATACAAATTTATGAAAGGTAGAAGGAAGATCTAGGTAGATCCGCCATCATATGGTATTGTGGGATCGTGAGTTCCATGATAGGTAGAAGGAAGATTTTTATTAGGGTAATTTCTGGAATTGGTCTCTTCTTTGGTTTCCATTATATTTCCTTGATAATACTGATGGGTTTTCCATGTCTGCCTTTTGGTTTAGTAATCTTTTTGATCTGATGAAACCAGACCTCATCTTTGGTTTTCAAATTCTCGCTCCTCCCTGCCTTTCAATCTTACAAGGTTGTTTGCTCTTCCAATCAAGGTAATAATCTCAACCTATCCTTGCTCTTTATTTTAATTTTTTTATATAGCAATTTATGATTTCAGATTATACATGGTGGGAACCAGACCTCATCTTTGGTTCCTTCTGTATATTTGTCATCACTCTGTATCTTGTAATTTTGGTCTATATTTGAGAAGAGGAATTGGGTCTGAATGCTTCATCAACTATTTAGAGAGGAGTGCTTGCAGAGAACATTATAGCCGTGTTTGCAGAGAACATTATATAGTCTTTATATATTTGATTTTTCATTTTCATTTGGGTCTATTGGTTGATTTTGAGTTATAGACAATAAAAAAAAAAGAGAGATAAAAAACAGAGAACATAAAAGATTTTATAGAAATAATAAGATTAGAAAGAGAGACCAAAACATAGAATAGAAGCATACATGGTCATCCTACAAGTTAATAATAGTCAAATTGTACATGGTCATCCTATAAGGTAATAATAGGATACAGTAAATTCTTCTGATTTGTTCTTTTTCATTACTGTGTGTTTGATTAGGCATAATGACATATCATGAGTTTAGACTGTTGTATGTGGTCTATTTATGTCAATTGCCTGTGGGTCAATGGAGATTGTTCCATCACTTTTTTTCTCTCTTTCTCTCATATGTAAATGGGGCAAATTAACTTTCTTTTGTGTTTACACAGCATTGAAGATTCTTTTCAGATTGGACATGAGATTGCATCTGAAATTACTGCTATGAAACCAAATCCAATTGTTTGGAAGATGGAAAAAGTTTATAGCCCGTGCTTCCTCCTTATTAAGAAGCGTTATGTTGGTTACAGTTATGAAAGCCCTGAACAGATTGCCCATGACAGTTCGCAGGGATACATGTGGGGCTGTTGCCAAGACAATGGAGCAGTCTTTGAGACTTTTTTTTGAACATCAGGATATGTATGAGGTACAAAAGCATGTGCTATTCCTTTTGATTGTACTTGAACTGGTTTGATAAAATCAAGGGTGAAGAGCAAAAGATAGGACGTCCATTGGTTGTAAGTCAATCCATGTTCCCATGTTACCTCTTTAGTTTCATAGATATCTTGTATTTGCCCTGAGTTTTTTTTCCTTAAAATAGCTTTTACTGGTGGTTGACTTGATTTCCACGGTTAGATGATGACCTTTGTTTTTTTTACACAGGTTAGAGCATACTTACAGCGTCAATGGAAGCGGATTCTATCTGGAAGGGTGTCTCTTCAGGATTTTGTATTTGCAAAGGAGGTTCGCCTTGGCACCTACCGTGCTTGTATCTATTTTTCTGTTCTTATTTCATTACTGTCTGTCATGTATTGCCTTCTTGATATATTTGATTTAACACATTGACTAAAACTTTGTTTTGGAAACAGAACTAGCTCTGTTCTTGTTTTGGCAGGATAAACAAACAATGTTATTATTAATGGGAAGTAGCAGCAGCCCAGCATTAGTGAAGATTCAAAGGAAGCTATGAAGCATGCATTCGAACTCTTTAATGTTCGATTGGAAGTAGACTTTGGGACTAGTGATATAGGACATAGCTTAGGATTGTAATGAATATTTGTAATTTATTACATTTGTCTTTTATTAATGATGATATATACTATTCTTCGAACAACAATTTCTCAATTGAAATATTATTTATATTTTTTGACAAAATATTTGTACGTTTAATGCTTATAAATGTAGTCGGAAAAACTTTTTTTCGACAAGCTTCCATGTCAGAAAAGCACAATTCCAACGAATTATATTTATCACAAATAGTAATCTAGGGTCGGAAATACTATTTTCGACAAATAGTCATTGGTCGAAAAAATAGTATGGCAAGAACAAAAGATCTCGATAAAAAATTATTTCCGATAGGTTCGCAAGTATTTGCGACCACATTTATTGTTGGAAATGAATTTGTATGGTCGTTTTGAAAATCTATTTCTGATAAAAAAAATTAGCAATATCGACGAAATATGGGTGTTGAAAATACATTATTTCTGACGGAATGGTCGGAAAAAAAGTATTTCCAACCGGCGTTTTAGCGACGACTTCCGACGAACCTTTGCCGTCGAAAAAGCGAATTTCCGACGGCAAAAGGCTTTTTGCGACCACAAAATACCCTCACTAAAGGCCTTCTGTTTTGTAGTGCACTAACGACCATTCGACCCAAAATTGAACCACCACCATTCAAATTCAATCACTCAGCTGGACATATGCAACTTCAAAGGCATGAAATATGCTGCTTCAAAGAGGAATCACCCCCAAGAAAAGGAGTGGGGGGGGGGGGAGAGAGAGAGAGAGAGAGAGAGAGAGAGAGAGAGAGAGAGAGGTGGGTTGATGGGATTCATGCCATGGAAGAAAGGAGGAGTAGGTGCGGCCTGAAAAGGAAAGCAAGAAGAAAAAAGGGAAACAGTAAGAAAATGAGAAGAAGAAGAAAAAAAATAGAAAAAAGAGAAAAAAGAAGAAAGAAAGGAGATAATAGTTTTAGGGCCTTCAAAAAATATCCTTTTAAAAAAAAATTAAAAAAAATTAAAACAGAAATTAGTGCAAATACACTTGAAAAATAACTCACATATTATTATTCTCAAATTGTAATACCAGACAAGTTTTCATTATTTTTATTTCTTGATTATGTTTTCCAATTAAACTACTAGACACATTTTCGAATCCTAAAAATGTAAATTCGTTTTCTCATTTTTATTCTCTAAAAATATTCTCAGAACACATTATCCAAAAACGTTATCAAACGGACAATAAGTTCTCTAACAAATTGTATTTGATTATGGGCTTGGGCATATATGTTCACGTACGTTGACCAAACTTGGAGCAAAGATTTTGCTATATTAAAAAAAAGAGCCGTAGGATTTGTTCATCTTTTTAGCGGTTTAAGAGAGAGAGAGAGATGTTTGACTTAAAAAGAGTATACGAGAAGAATTTCATGTTGACACAAAATTTAAAATCTTGAATCATATTTGATAAATTGTTAAAGAGGATTTACACTACTTGCCAATGAGCAAACATCACCACATTTAAATTAGGAACACTCCAGAAGAAGAAGACGATGTAAATCGTTAAGTGAAACTTAGGTAGATAATAGTCACAAAGTTGAATTTAATTCACACCGTGTGTTTTAACGATTGGAATTTGTAGAAGACGGTGCGGTCCATTTTGTAGGCTTCCATGACCCATTTAAGGCTTTGGATAGCTATACCTATTCACAAAATCCAAATTCAACACACAAAAACAAAAGAAAAGGAAATCCATAATAACTGGAAAAAGTGTTTGTTTTGCTTTATGTACTGTTGCCTGATCTGTATATTGCCATCTTCGGATGTATGTATGTTACTATAAACGTTGCAAAGCCCATTCAGACGCAAACAGCATTTGGTGATAAGTTTGATGCAGGGCAGGTGAAGAAATTGGGCCTAAAAAGTACCAATTCATGTTAATATTTATTCAGACAGCATGCACAAGATGCATTACAATAATTATTAGAGGCAGCTCCTTGTTCCCTCAGACGTACGCTTCTAAATTTGAAGACAGTTAACCGTGTCATGAAACTAAAGCAACGTTTTGTATATTTCTTTCCACATCAAAAGGTTATTAATTTCAATCGATTTGCCAACAAATACTTACTTATAAAAGAAAGAAACACGAGCCAGCGTCATATAGCTTTCACATTTCCCTTCTCAAGACTTCTTTTCTACTTGTGTGTCAACATGGCAATTTCACGTGGCATTTTCAGTCCAGTCGTACTAATGTATTTAAAGAGATGGCGTGATCGATCGATGACATGGATTGAAGTTGCATGTGTGAAACTGTGAGCCACATGACCATCATGGATCATGGTCCCTCGTTCAGAACGTGACGTGTGTGCATGCAGATGATCAATCTCATCTCTTCACTCGATCACGTCATCACAACTCAATCCAACAACTTTGGGATAAATTTTTACGGTTTGGCGTTGTGAAAAATAATGCATTGGCACAATGGCACCTGTCATTACATCAATGAATAAATAGAGTTGATTTGAGAGACGAACAAACCAGCGCCCAACCACCGTACCCTTTACCCGCCATCTGAACAACCGATTTGTTTGGCGTGTTTCGACTTTTTAAACGTAGCAATTAGATTTAGGACCAAGAACCATTTATATTTCAACCAAAAAAGAAAAGAAGAAACTTCATTAGATTACTGGTTTTAATTTTCTTTTTTCTCTGTCCTCTACTCTTTTCTTTGGGTATGAAAGATACGATTCACTGGAGTACGTACTATTTTCATTTTGACAAACCCGGAAGACTGTTGGGATTGTGGTGTGAGCATAAGCCTTCATGATTCAGCCCATATTACTAACCCACTTGGGCCAGTTCAAATTCTTAGCAACCCAGAACGCTCCTCTTGGGCTTAAGGAAAAGTTATATCTTAATCATGCCAGTAGTGCTGACTTGCAGGTGAAGAGTATTAAAACCTAATTACCCTACCTCGTACATTGAATGAGTTATCTACCAAGATGCTTTACTTAAAATAAGATAAACAGTGGCGTGTGAAGTAATAATCAAATGAAAAATGCACTGCGCATGACCATCACTAGTCTTTATTTGTTGATAACATCCTTATCACCACTTCATATATAAACAAATTCTAACAAGTAAGCAACACATATGTACGCGAGCAGAACAGAACGGAGAGATAGAAAGATGCCAGAATACTGTGTAACTGGAGGAACAGGTTTCATAGCTGCCTACTTAGTCAAGGCTTTGCTTGAGAAGGGTCATCTTGTCCGGACCACGGTGCGAGATCCAGGTATTTATGCTCAATTCTGATTACATCTCGATGTAATTGCATTATATATTTATGCTCAACCTATATTTTACAAGTGGTACTATTTTAAATTTTTTGCCCCTTTGATAACAGAGGATGTGGGGAAGGTTGGCTTTCTGTGGGAATTGAATGGAGCCAAGGAAAGGCTGAAGATGTTCAGAGCTGATTTAATGGAGGAAGGAAGCTTTGACGAGGCTATTCAAGGGGTTGATGGGGTTTTCCACACTGCATCACCTGTGCTTGTTCCATATGACGACAACGTTCAGGCAAAGCTAGCTACTATTTGAACCAACCCTAGTCATTATTACTACTTTCCTCCTCTAAGGCCAGGGCAAATTTCTAGAGAGTGCCCTTTTAGACAAATTAAAAATTACAATTACAATTTTTTTTTATCAACAAATTAATTTTATTAGATGACATTTTTTAGTTTTTATAAAAACACGAACAATAACAATAAAACTAATGAACAAAAAATAATAAATTTTGGATTTTGGGCATTTTTTTTCTTTAACTTGAAACTTCAAATTTCCCATTGTGAAGAACAAGAATTTTTGTTGAGTTTTTTGCTGAATCAAATAAAAAGAAAAATAAGTTAACAAAGATGTCTCTTACAAAAATCCTATTATACATCTATTTATAATAAAAAAAATGACAGAAAGAAAAGACCTTCAAATTGCTAAAGCTTCCAATGTGTGTTGTTGCCACTGCCAGGTCTTTTTTTCGGTTAAGATAAGAACGTTTGTTTGGTTTTTTTTTTTTGTTAAGAACTCTTTGTTTCCATGTGTTTAGTTTCATTAATTTTTGTTTTTTGAAATATTATATTATATCATTTATATTTAGTTTCCTAGAGAATCTCAAAGAGGTTTTTGCTGCCATGATTAATGATTACGTCTACTTCCTTCTAGGACACTAACGGTTTTGAGTGTTTTTATTATTTTATTATTTATAAATGTAAATATATAGGCTAAAAAACCAGATTTTTGTGCCCCCTACAATTTTGGGCCCTGGGCCAGAGCCGGCTCTGGTACAAAACAAAGCTTAATAAATTGGTTATTGTGTTAATTATATGGCAGGCAACTCTGATTGATCCATGTATAAAGGGCACCCTGAATGTGCTGACTTCCTGCTCAAAAGCACGAGTGAAACGGGTTGTGCTCACCTCTTCTTGCTCTTCGATAAGATATCGTTACGATGCCGAACAAGTCTCTCCGCTCAATGAATCACATTGGAGCGATCCTGAATACTGCAAGAACTACAATGTAAGCAATTATAAATCCTTCCATCTTGTTAAGTTTTCAGAGCTGAACATACTTAATAATATGATATAGACGTTGTTTGCATATACAGCTTTGGTATGCTTATGCAAAGACAACAGCTGAGAAAGAAGCATGGAGAGTGGCCAAGGAGAGCGGAATGGATCTAGTGGTGGTAAATCCCTCATTTGTGGTTGGTCCTCTGCTAGCACCACAACCAACTAGCACACTGCTTATGATACTGGCTGTAACAAAAGGTTAGGCTTTGCATCTTCCACCAAGTAGATGCAGGGTTAATGCCCTCTTCCAGCCACAACGACATCTAAGTTAGAATACAATTGGTGTTGTGTAAGTTCTTAAGTATTGTAATTTCTGTGTTAGGTGCAAGAGGTGAGTATCCAAATACAACAGTGGGGTTTGTGCACATAGATGATGTGGTATCTGCACACATCTTAGCCATGGAGGAGAGCAAAGCATCAGGCAGGCTTATATGCTCAAGCTCTGTGGCACACTGGTCGCAGATCAT